GAATTGAGCTCATCAGCAAGGGGACCTTTGACATTCCTCATCCAAGATTCTGGCTGGCAGTGCCCAGCAGTGTGAGGCTGCCAGTTCAGTCATAAACGCCTGGTTCTCCAACGCATACTATCTTCAGGACTCCTCTTTCAGCCTCACACCAGCCCTGCAAGGGAAGGTTTGCAAGACAGATGATGCTCTTGCTATGTGGAAGGAGCTGGAAGGTTTCAGGATGTGCCCTACAGCCCATATACCCAGAGCAGGGTCACAGGGAGGAGGTAGAAAGTGTCAAGTGTCACCCCAGGAGGGAAAGAAGTTTGGGACATCAATTTAATTGGAGCCTGGAAATGGGAGAATTTAAGTTCATGGATATGGGCAAAGTGAGGAGCAGAGAGAATAAGGTGAACCCGCAAAGTGTGGGATGCAAGAAAGAATGCTAAGAGTGAGAGACCTCAGACAAAGAGAGCCACCTCACAGTCCAGAGTTTCATCCTGACCACCTCAGCTTCATTCTACTTTAGTGACTTAGGAGAGGGAAGGAGAGAAAAGTCCCGACCTAAATTCTCCTTGTAGCTACATTGGGTGTCACATTCTTTATCCAACTGTGATGTGCAAAGGTCCCGGGGTCTGTGGGTCACAGATAAAATAACCCCCCTTAAAAAGAAGTGGAAATTTCTAACAGATTAGTGGGAGTGCCTCATCACTGCTCATCAGGCCTGACAGGCCACCTAGTGTGAGGGGCACATGGACAGAATGGGCACCTGTGTCTACAGCGCTGTGCACACATACAGGTCTAGGCACCTCAGGGTGCAGGTGGAGGAATTTATGTCCCACCAAAGTTGAGGAAGATGGCCACACAAATGCCAAGCATCTCCTGGAGAACAAGGGACAACAAAGAGGGCTTTGCTCAGGTGACAAGCTTCCCCTATTGCTATGCTCTGCCTTCAGCTCACCTTGTTCAGCAGGGAACGGTGAGACCCGTTTTGATGGTAAGGAAACAGGACAAGAGTTTTCCTGTCTCCCCAATGCTTCTTCATGGAGGATGACCCCTCTGTGAGACCTCAGAGACAGGTGACAGGGTTTAGTCTTGACTGGAACCACCCTTGGCCAGCCTGACTCCGGAGGATCAGGATATATTATTCTGATTTTTTAAAGCAAAATGCCACCAGCAGTAGAGTAAGGGTTTCACTGTGTTGCTCCAGGGGACACCATAGAGGGCAGAGCAAGCTCCTGATTTGCTCTGTCCCCTCCACACATGTGGGGGGTACCACCACCCCCCAGAACCGCAGCTACAGGCTTTAACTTTCCTCCCCCTCCCTTTTCTTTCATCCCTGCTTCCTGTGGCTCTGATGAGGACAGTCAAGGGGCACGAAGAGGACTTCACAGACGGCAGCCCCAGTTCCTCCCGCTCACTGCCTATCACCAGCTCTTTCTCCAAGATGGTGAGCTGGCCCTGGTTCCCACTCCTCTTGCACACCATCTGAGTCCCCAGGCTGAGCCTGGGGCCTTGCTGATGTTTATTTAAAGAAGTTTCTCTTTCCCAGGCTCAGCAATGTATTCACACCTTCCTGCCATCTCCTTTCCCAGTTTAACACTTGATGGGAGGAGGAGACTTAGGAGGCCTCCTAAGGGACGGTGGCAAAAGATGCCCAAAATTCTGCAACTTCACAGCCCCAGGCAATCCAGGCCACTATCCTGGGAGGCAGCAGGCAGGGTAGGGGGCTGCTGGAGCAGCAACAGAGAGAACACCCCTACTTCTGGACAGAGCTAGGCAGGATCCCAGCCTTCAATTACATCCAGCTATCTATTTGTCCCTGCAGAAGACACCAGATTAGAAATTCTAAGCCCGAGGGGTGCCCTGGGAAAAATGTCAGCTCAGCTTCTTAAATCAGACCCTGAGGGGGGTAGAAATTTGGTAATGGATTTACAACAGTCTGGTATCAGCTCCGGTGCCAAAACCCCAGGTATTTGTCCCCCACCAAACACCCCTCTTCACATCCACTCTGGCCAAAGCACAGCCAGCCAGATAGGTGCAGGTGGGGGGGGGGGGGAGGCACAGAACCCAGCCCCTACAGGGTCACAAGGCCTCCCAGCTCAGTCAGTCCCCGTCTGCTTCTCACAGCCAACAGCTGTGGAAGCAGCTGTGCTCCAAGCTCCGCTGACTGCCCCAGGGCTGAGCTCAGCCTCCTCCAGCCAAGGTCATGCTGGGGACCAGCTTGCTCAGCCTGCGCTGCTCAAGCCGGAGTGGGAACATCCCCAAGTTAAATTTAGTTCCCGCGTATATAATATTTATGCCCATGAAGGCATTGCGGATAAATATCCGGTAACACAGCTGTACCGTGTTCACAGCAGCCCCACCGGAGCCGCAGCAGTATCATGTCAATCACCGCAGAGCCCCCGGGAAATGACTCCATAGTCAGACGCTGCAAGGAAGACACGCCGCACCGCAGGTGAGTGGCAGGTGGCAGCCTCGGCTGGCTGGCTGGCCTGTTTCTGGGCCCCAAGGTATGGACTCTTTGGGCCTCTCAACAACACAGAAGGAAAGGGGAGAAATGGGCCCACTGTCCATACACCATTGGGGTAGTTGAGGCTTGGAGATGGGGAACCACCCCCTTTTGCTAAAATACGGCTAAACCTACATCCTTCGTCCCCATGCTGCCCTGGAATTGTGTTCCAAGTTCCTGAGACCTCAGACTTTAGTTTTGCTTTTTTTTTTTTTTTTCACCCAGAGTGGGCGCTACACAAGGACCTCCTCTACCTCCTGAAAAACATGGGTTTCTCAGACTTACACAGCAGCCAGGTGTCCCTGTTACACTCCTCTCAAAGTCAGGTGCCAGGCTAGGGCGATAACGCAATAAAAAAAGTTGCCTTGCCAGCACAAAGGCCTGAATCCGGGTCCCCCACAACTCACATTCACAAAGCAGGCATGAGGCCAGCGAAATGGCTCAGCGGGTTAAGGGCGCTTGTTACCAAGCCTGATAATCTTGAGTTCTGTCCCTGGAACCTCCATGTGGACACACATGTGCACACTCGCTTGTACACGCTCACAATAAATTAATGTCATTTTTAAAATTTTAAAGTGGGGACTGGAGAGATGGTTCCGTGACTAAGAGCACTTGCTGCTCGTGCAGAGGACCTGAGTTCGGTTCCCAGAATCCATGTGGCAGTTCACAGTTGTCTGTAACTCCAGTTCCAAGGGATCTGACCTCCTTCAGGCACATTCAGACATGGAGGCAAAACACTAATATAAATAAAGATAAAAAAAATCTTAAAGTAAAATTAATGACAAGCATGGTAGGAACCTGGGCTTGCTGGCCAGCCAGAACCTAATCCGGTGTTCTCAACCTTCCTAATGCTGTAGCCCTTTAACACAGTGCCTTATTTGTGGTGACCCCCAACCATAACATTATTTTCGTTGCTACTTCATGACTGTAATTTTGATACTGTTATGAATCATAAATATCTGATGTTTTTACATATCATAGATGTCTGGTATGCAGCTCCTGTGAAAGGGTCATTTGACCCCTCCAAGGGGTCGCACCCCACAGGTTGAGAACCGCTGGCCTAATGTGAGTTCCAAGCCAGAGACAGAGTCTGCTTTTAAAGACACCTGAGGATGTCCTCTAGCTTCCACATACACACAAATATATATCACCTGCGCACATGTGCGCGCACACACACACACACACACACACACACACACATCACAGCTAGATGCCGGTGACTCCTGAGAGAACTGAATTCACACCCTAGTCCTGCTGGGGCCTGGGTTTTGATATCTCAGTCATCATGTTCCCAGGACAGCTCTAAACTCCAGCTCACACTCATCTGTAAGAATACCTGCTCACACTCATCTGTAACTCCAGCTCACACTCATCTGTAAGAATACCTGCTCACAGACAAGGGAGGAACCAGCATAGGACCAAGCTAGGCCCTCTGAATGTGGGTAACAGTCGTATAACTGGCACAGAATGCAGGGTCACTGGCAGTGGCACCAGGATTTGTACTGGCTTTTTGCAACCCATTCTCTTTAAATGAATACTTTGCTCAGCCTAGATACAGTGGAGAGGGCCTTGGTCCTTAGAGCAATGTGCCTTGCCCTTTCTGGAGAGTGGATGGGAGGGAGGAGGTGGGGGGGATGGGGAAAGAGTGGAAACTGGAACTGGTATGTAAAATGAAAAGCGATAGCTTGTTTTCTTTTTTTAAAAAAAATCATTAAAAAAAGAAACACATGGGCTGGAGAGATGGCTCAGTGGTTAAGAGCATTGCCTGCTCTTCTAAGGGTCCTGAGTTCAATTCCCAGCAACCACATGGTGGCTCACAACCATCTGTAATAAGGTCTGGTGCCCTCTTCTGGCCTGCAGGCATACACATAGATAGTCTATTGTATACATAACAAATAAATAAATAAATATTTTTTTAAAAAAAAGAAACACACACACAAAAATAGAATACCTGCCCAGTCCCCTCAGTGGCTGCACCCTTCTGGACATCTTGGACCAGTTTTCAGCGTAGTTACTGAAGTCTCTTGTACACCTACAACCACCTTGGCCAGCCTAGTGTTCATTGCACCCACCCCTTCCGAGAGGGCTCTCTGCTGCCTCAGAGCCATCCCACCAGGTGACAAACATGTGATGTAAATAACAAACAGAGGTTGCTTGAGCCTCTGGGAAATCGGTACCCCAGGCTGGCCTCTCACGGTCAATCCCCCTGCTTCTGCCTCCTGACCACTGCAATTGCTGGCGAGTGCCACCACTTCTGGCTTTACCTGGCCTCTGCTCACCTGTGTCTTCCTCAGCCATTGTGAGACATGGTCTAGACAGGCCCCCAGGACCTCCTTCCCTGATGATTTAGTCCCCCTTCATCCCACCCTCCTCATCCTTCCCTTCCCTCCTCTACTGACCTCTTGGAAGCAAAGCCTGATGGGAAGCCAGAACATTCCAGAAGCTCCTTCCACCTTTTTCACCTGAAGCACATGCTCACAGCAGTGTCCTTGTCCCCGGTTTGTGTCTTGCAGCACAGTGGAAGAAGACAATGACAGCTGCGGGTTCGACGCCTTGGACCTTGATGGTGTGTATCTGCCAGGCGCAGAGGGGCCACGGTGACCTGGGAGGGCAGGGTCTATCCAGAGAAGGACTCAGAAGAGGACATGGGAGAAGATCTGATCATAGGCTCCAGCCAGAGACCAAAGTGGCTCTGTGATTTACAGGCAGAACCAGCCACTCAATTGAAGAAAAAAAAAAAAACCATGGGTTTTAAAATAGTAATAATTCTAGGTCTCAGAATGTGTGATTCCCTACAAATCCCCCAGTGAGGGGCTGGAATGTGGCTCAGAGGTAGAGTCCTAGGCCCAACATCCCTGCCTGCAGAGACCGTGGTGTTAGTACCATGAACCCAAGGCGTCTGCCTGGCTGGATCACTGAGAGGGTGGAGAGCCTAGAGATAGTTCCCCTGTGTCTCGTGTGTCCCCAGAGCCCTACCCTGCTCTTAGGTTAGTCTCCTATGCCTCAGAATCCTGCAGATATACCCTACACACACATTCCACTTCCTCCCCCGTCCCCATCTGTGCCCCTGGCTAACAGAGGCCACCAGCAGACAAAATGGAAAGATTAGTGATCCTCCATAATTGGGGACCATCGAAAGCTATCAAGTGTTAAAGAGGGGTTAGCACCTAATGGAGGCTGGGTAATGAAAAGAATCGAGAGAGGTTTAGAACGGGGAAGCCGGGAAGTGAATCCTGGGCAGGCATCCAAAGCATGTTGCGGGTGTCGGGAAAAACTCCTTGCGCAGAATTGGCCTTTGTTATCAGCCCCAAGCAGGACCAGTGTGTCCCTCACCCTGGTGGCTCTGTTCCAGCCAGCACCTCCCCTTGGAACTTACAGTCCAGTTGAGGTGGAAGAAAAGGATAGGGACCCCAGGCTCCTACAGACACAGAGTCTGAGAGTCAGTGGAGGGTGGTGAGACTGGGGGGGGGGGGGAGGGGGCTGACTCCAAAGTGAGAACCCCAGAGCTCACTTCCAAGATAGAGCTGGGAGCTGAAGAGGTGGCTTTAATGGCTAAGAGTTCTTGGTCCACAATCGTGAGGACCAGAGCCTAGACCCCAGCACCCTCACAGAAAGTGGGGTGTCCCTGAAAACATCTCTGACCCTAACTCTGAAGGGTACAGAGACAAGAGGAGCACAGGGCCTGGCTATCCTCCTGCCAAGCTGAAAAGGCATGTACCCCAGGTTCAGGGAAAGACCCTGCAAAAAAAAAGGCAGACAATGGTAGAGGAGGGCACCAGGTGTCCTCTTCTGGCCTCCTACTCCCTACATATCTGGTGAGGCTCCATAAGAAGAGAGGCAGGGGGTTGTCTATTTTGAACTTTACCATCCGTCCTGATGGCAGGAGACAGGCAGGGTGGAGTCAGAGCTGCAGGATTCTGGTTCCTGTAATTCGAGCACTTGAGAGATGGAGGCAGGGGGATGGCAAGTTGGGCACAGCCTGGGCTACATGCTACAAGCCTGTGCTCTGCCTCTGGAGAGAGCTGACTCCCCCCAGCTTCCAGTCTACAGAGCTATGCTACCATTCAGCTCTAGGAGACGCTGACCACTCAATGCCAGGGGGTGGGTGGAAGGGATGGCCCTAGGTGCTCCCTCTAATGTGCCTAAGTCCTGACAGTCCCCACCCCTCCTCTACAGATGACAATCATGAACGCTACTCCTTCGGACCCCCCTCCATCCACTCCTCCTCCTCTTCACACCAGTCAGAGGGACTGGATGCCTACGACCTGGAGCAGGTCAACCTCATGTTCCGGAAGTTCTCTTTAGAAAGGTATGGAAACAGGGCTAGGGGGACAGCTCAGTGAGGATAGGTCTTGTCACACAAGCATGAGGACCTGAGTTCAAATCCCCAGAACCCACCCACATAAAAAAAGCTGGGTGTGGTGGCACATGCTTGGAGTTTGCAAGCTGCAGATCCAGTGAGTGACTACCAAAAGCAAGGAGGACTGAGGAACAATGCCTGAGCTCAACCTCTGACCTCCGCGTGCATGTACACATACACACACACACACTCACACACACATACACACAAGGGAACAGAGATAGGACAAAGGTACCAGGGATGGGAGTGGCCGAATGGGAGTTCAAGGATGGAACCGAAGGCCCTCATCCTCTTAGTTCTCTACAGAGAGGACAATCTGCGTGCTCCAAGACTCAGGGTCTCAGTCACTCAGAATAGGGATGTGGCTCACTTGGGAGGGTGCTCATCCTGCATGCATGAGTCCTGAACTCCATCCCCAGCACTACATGCATCAGGCAAAGTGTCCCAGCACTCAGGAGGTGAGGCAGGAGGATGAGAAGTTCAAGGTTATTCTCAGCTACCTAGTGAGTTGGAAGCTAGCCTGTACTACATGAGACCTACCTCAAAGTGGGGTTGGGGCTCACAGAGAGAACCACTCCATCTGTTCCTTGACTGTCCCGGATAAGAAACCTAGACACACAGAAGAAGGAGCAGGTAGTCATTCCTTCTTCCTGAGGCCAGGAAGGTGGCAGCAGTCATGAGTCCCTTAGAACCTCCCAAGCCTCCAGGACACATGCAGCTATGCCACTAGCATCCTGCTAACACGTCCTAGATTCAGCCTTTCTGAGCCTATTTTCTTTCCCAACTCAGGCCCTTCCGGCCATCGGTTACATCTGGGGGCCATGTACGTGGCCCTGGCCCCTTGGTGCAGCACACAACCCTGAATGGTGATGGACTCATCACCCAGCTCACCCTGCTGGGCGGCAATGCACGTGGGAGCTTCATTCACTCCGTCAAGCCGGGCTCGCTGGCCGAGAGGGCTGGACTACGTGAGGGCCACCAACTACTGCTGGTGAGAGATAGAGGAGGGGAAACTGTGGGGTGTCCCCAGGCCCTTCTCTTCCATGTGTACACATGGGCACATGCATGCACACCTAGCGACACATGCCTCCCCCACTCCGTTGCATGAGATGCCCCTGTGTCTGGAGAAGGATACTCCCATGGAACGCAGCCGTGGACTGGCCACGTTGCCCATCTGCAGAGCCTAGGAAAATAAACAGCTTGTTTTTGGCCTGTAGCTGGAAGGCTGCATCCGGGGCGAGAGGCAGAGCGTTCCACTGGATGCTTGCACAAAGGAAGAGGCCCGTTGGACCATCCAGAGGTGCAGTGGTCCCATCACCCTGCACTACAAGGTCAACAATGAAGGTAAAGTCTGGATTAGATCTGGTCTACACGAGAGTGTCTACCATGAGCCTCCCCCCTTGCTTATCTACGCCCCATGAGGAATGAGTCACACCCCACCCCAAGAGGAAATCAGTTCTAATATCCTTGGGTAGGGATGACGATGCTCTGTGTCACCCTGAACCAAGTCCGCAAACCTCCTAAGGAAACACAGAGGACACAGCTCCAGCAGACTGGCTCGCTCCTCCCCTGCACGGGTGACATCTGTGAGACTCTGGGCCAGGCAGGGCTGCAGAAGCACATCCGGACCCCTGACAGACAGCCCTGCCTGGCCCAGCCCCCCCTTCTTCACTCCCCCACTCCCCATCCTCCCCAGCCCCCAGCCCCCTGCAGCCCTTCTGCTGGGTGATGACTTGGATTCTCATTCTCACCTCTGGGTTTTCCTGCGTGATTGCCTCTGCAGCTGGGTCTTATTTTTAACCACAGTAATCATGAATATTTGAGCGGAGCATAAATAGCCCAGCCCGCTTCTCCAAGCCGCCCTCCTGCCCCTTCCTAGCAGTACTCTGGTGCAGAGGATAGCACTGTGGAGCCCAGCCAGTCACCCCTGCTCATGGGACATGCTCCTACCATCTCCTGAGGCTAGGTTTTCCAGCCCTGCACAAAATATATATATTTAGGGAACACCTTGACCCCTGGGTCACAGGGCTGCAAAATGAGTTGCGCCCCTAGAGGTGGACAATGGCATTGCCCTTCAGGCTGGATTTCTGGGAGAGGGCCCTAGTCCCAGAGAAGAGCTCAGACTTAAGGATGCTAGGGGGTACAAAAGGGGTCTGAGCCAGAGTCTAGCTAAACTAGGGCACCTCTAAAAGACCCAATATAGAATCTCTGCTTCTCCATGCCAACCCAGCTGCCCGGAATGCCCTTTGGCTATGGATGACCTACTAGGAGCCTGCTTGTTACAACTCCCCCTTTTGACACACACCCCTCTGTCACTGGGGTTACTTTGGGGATAAATTATAGATGTATACCATAAGCATTCACTGACAGCTTGCAGCATTTATCAGATTCACGCTGTAACCTCCTAATGCCTCCAAAGTTATTTGCAAAATTTTACTCAAAAGACCGGTAATATTTGGCCTTACTGGCACGGGCAGCAGTCTTATTAACCTAGAAATGCATTTGGCAGTAGCTACAAGAGCTTCCACACAGCTTCACAATGACCTGGCGAATCGACTTCTGTATCTGTTTATCCAAGAAAAACGAGTACATGTGTTCACCAAAAATAATGTATTTGACTGACTCACAGCAGCATGGAGTACTACAGAGCAATGAAAAGTAGCGTGGGCCACAGTACTGTGTCTTGCAAGCATAATGTCGCACAGTTGCAGCCAGATGCAAAGGAGCTTGTGGTACTTGCTTCCATCTCTGCAACATGAGGTACAGCTAGCTAGGGCAAGCGCAACCAGGAAAAAGCTAGCCTGAGAGAGCACATCAGCAGAGGGTTCAGAGTAGGAGCTATCCACATGTATGCATTTGAGAAAATGCGTTGAATTGAAGGCTGTGTCTAGCCTATTGTTTGTTAAGTACCAGTTGGCAAGCTCCTTGTAATGGTGGAGAAGGCATGGAGACCACAATGCAAATGTCAGTAAATTCAACATTGTGATTCGGCACAAGTTTTAGCTCCAAGCTTCCTGAAAGCCCAAATGAAAAAGGAGCCCCACAGACGGCTGCCCATCGACAAGGGAACCTCAAAGACAGCATGGCTGCCCATTCACAGGAGAAAGGCAGGCACGCAGATGAGGTCGCCTCCAGGGTGCTTAAGTGTTTGGATTGTGTCCCCCTCAGGATACCGGAAGCTGCTGAAGGAGATGGAGGACGGTGTGATCACATCAGGGGACTCGTTCTACATCCGCCTGAACCTGAACATCTCTAGCCAGCTGGATGCCTGCTCCATGTCTCTGAAGTGTGACGATGTGGTACACGTCTTGGATACCATGTACCAGGACAGGCATGAGTGGTTATGTGCACGAGTTGATCCCTTCACAGACCAAGACCTGGACATGGGCACCATCCCCAGCTACAGCCGGTGAGCAGGAACAGGAGGGGTGGGCCCTGAAACCACCCCAGACCCAGAAACCCCCTCAGCCTGGGGAACTGGAAGATACTGGCCTCTCCTTCTGTGGAAGGCATCCTTACCCTTATAGTAAGGATGGCATGTGTCCTCACAAAGTCTCCTAGCACCCTCATTCTGTCCAGTGACTACCAGGCATGCTGAGGAACCCTCTACCTGGATCCACACCTCAGCCCCTCACTGGGGGATTCTAGGAAGGGGCTCTACCACTGAGCCACACCCCAGCCCCTCACTGGGGGATTCTAGGCAGGGGCTCTACCACTGAGCCACACCCCAGCCTTCACTGGGGGATTCTAGGCAGGTGCTCTACCACTGAGCCACACCCCAGCCCCTCACTGGGGAATCTAGGCAGGTGCTCTACCACTGAGCCACACCCCAGCCCCTCACTGGGGGATTCTAGGCAGGTGCTCTTCCACTGAAGCTTCATTTCCCAGCCTACTTTACTTTTAAAAAAAAAATTTTCAATAGTCTGATTTAGTTATCCAGCCTAGAGTTGAACTTGCAGTCCTCCTGTCCACAGCCCTTCCCTGCCTAGGACAACTGGGATGACAGTCCCATCTGGTCTTTTCTTTCTATCTGAGGTTCAGGACTGGGGGGAGGGAATGGACCCCAGAGCCCTGGGACATGTTGAGCAAATGTTCTGTCTCTGAGCCATGTCCCAGTCCCTTCGCCGTTTCTTTTTAATCATCCTGGGTTGCACACAGTGACACCTGCTCTTCTGGGCCCTTGCTGCTGCTTGGCCAGTCACAGACAAGTGAGTCTTGGCCAGTCAGATGGTCAGTGGAGAAATCCAGATACAAGGTCATGACCCCGCAGCTGGTCTGCGAGATGCTGTGTCCCAAGCCCAGCGAGTCTGGTGTTGCACAGCGACTCCTGGGACTCAGTTCCTCCCGTCTGCAGGGGCCCAGTTCTAACCCTGAGGTTGCTCCCATGTCGCCTCCCCCAGGGCTCAACAGCTTCTCCTGGTGAAGCTCCAACGACTGGTGCACAGGGGCAGCCGGGAGGAGGCAGACAGCGCTCACCACACCCTGCGCAGCCTCCGGGTAGGTGAAGATGGGTGGTGGGGACAAGGGGACTTGCAACTTCTCTCTTCCTCCCTGCATGTAAGAAGCAGGGGCTGACCATGTCACTGTGACATCAGGAAGATGCGCTGCAAGGCACTGGGTTCTTTGGGAAGGGAGAACTCCTACGAGCCCTCCCCTCTGTAACTTAGGGGGCTCAAATGCATCTCACCCCAATCCACGCCAGTCTCAGACACAAGAGGTTGCTCTCTCCCAGCCTTGCTGAACCCCGGCTGACTGACAAACTCATTTCAGAACACCCTGCAGCCTGAAGAGACACTTTCAACCAGTGACCCCCGGGTCAGCCCCCGCCTCTCCAGAGCGAGTTTCTTCTTTGGTCAGCTCCTTCAGGTAAGGCTGGTGAGCGGAAGCCCGCTGACTTGTCTAGTGCAGTTTGCCAGGGCCCCGCCCTCTGCCTACCAAGAAGACTTGCCAGTGTGGAAACAACACGGCTTTGTATTCCCGCGCCTCTTGTGGCTTCTCACAGCGCCTGGTTTCTTCCATCCCATTTTATCCTCACAGTGACAGGTCTGTAGACAGACTCCACGCCTGCGGGAAGCCGGTCTCACTTTCATAAAAGATTTGAAGCAACTTCGGGCCAAAAGAGCTTCAACAACTCAGCTGCTAAAATATGATAGAAAAATCAGATGTGCTATATTAGGAAGGGGAAATGAACCCTCCAGATATTTAAGCCAGTTTTCTTCCTCTGAAGGAGCGTTAAACTTACCTGAGCATCCCAGAGGCCAAGGAGATAAGGGAAACCCAGCAGGTTCCTTGAATCTTACTTATCTGTGGAAACAGTTCAGCTCTTTGGGACTAGAAAAAAAAATTTCCTTCTTGTACTTAATTTCAAAAGAAAAAAAATATTTTGGGGGTGGATAGCACAAGGACTATCGATAAGCCGACTGTGTGAGTCCACATAGGTACCGGTTTGGGCTTCAAAGCCATTCCTTTATCGGTAAGTGAAAGGGGCAAAGAATCTGAGTGGGCAGCCCGGAAGCTTGTTTCCTGTGTGGCACTGCATTAATCAGACTCCGATGCAGAAAGCACAGCAAGAAATAGCTAGCACCCTGACCCCAAAACCCAGATGGACACAAGAATGTGGCCGAGACCGACAGATGGGAAGGGACCCTGCAGAGCATGAGGCCTCCCTCCTGAAGGCAGGACCATCTACCAAGATGACGTTAGGCCCCTGGGTCAAGCTGAGTTTCCTTCCAAGACACAAGGCTAAGCTAGGGATATGACTCGGTTGTTAAACAGCCGGCCTACCGTGTGTGGAGCCCTCAGTTCCATCCCCATCACCACACGGTGGAGCATGCTTGTAATCCCAGTGCTCGGGAAGTGGAGGCAAGAGGACCCGAAGTTCAAAGTCCTCCTAGGCCACATAGTGAGTTTGAGGCCAGCCTGGGCTACATGAGACCCTGTCTCAGCAAATATATAAAAATAAAAACCATGAGGCCGGTGCAGGCTAGCACTGGGCAGGCTGCTGCCTCTACTACTGAAAGAAGCAGGAAAGACTTAAAGATGCCCAGGGGGCTTTGTGGGAGCCTGGCCTCTGTACCAGAAAAAGTTTCTATGAACTGTGTGAGGAAGCCATGGTTCTAGAACCCAGAGGACCATGGGTGCAGCGTGGGGAGCTGGAGAGTTCCAGCATGTATGGACCCCTGCCACTGCCAGCCAGGGTCCTCACCAGCTAGATCAGTAGTGGCAAGAGGTGTCTTCGGCCACGGCAGCTGGAGTGTCCCAGGGTCTCTTTACAACAGAGGTGTTCTGCCCTGGGCCCCCAGAGTAGAGTCGAGAGTAGAGTTGGAACAAAAGCATGGTTCGTTTTGTCTGCCTGGTGCAGCCCAATCTGGCTCAAGACTTGAAGCCAAGAGAATTCTGCCCCACCCTCCCACTCTGCCCTCCCATCCCACCCTCCTGCCCTGCCCTCCTTCTCTCTCCACAGTTTGTCAGCCGGTCAGAAAACAAGTACAAACGAATGAACAGCAACGAACGTGTGAGGATCATCTCTGGAAGCCCCCTGGGAAGCCTCTCCCGGTCCTCGCTGGATGCCACCAAACTCCTGACAGAGAAACATGAGGGTGCGTGAGGACCTCCTGGCCCCTCCCCCAGGGCCCCACAGCAACGTGTCTGGGCTGGCCTCTTGGTGTACACTCCACAATCTCTACCTCTGGCCTGTGTACTCAAGTGCATGTACAGACACACACACACACAGAGGGGGAGGGGAAAGGCATAGTAGCATGCATCTGT